TTCGTTTTTTGCTTATCTTGTTATTGGCAAAATTACTTTCTTTTATTTATTTCTGATTATCAGTAGCCCGAGTTCTTCTAAATTAAGGCTTTGACCGAAATTTCACTTTTTGGTTAAACAATACTTGCGGGTGCATTTGGCCGTAACAATTCCTCTAGATAATTAGTAGTAGTATGCTAGTAGTAAATTTAACTTTTTTTTTGTTTTTGTAATGGTGTAGTATTTTAGTAGCTTATTTTTTTTAAATATGGAATAAAATTGAAAATTTTGGACTATTCTTGACGATGGATCTCCTCGACTTTTCCTGTGGCACTCAAAATAGAATGCTGAAAAGTTGAGCGCCACGCTGCCCTGGACGCTCAAAACGTGAACATGTTTTATTTCGATCGGGACTCGGTTATTTCGACCCCAAGACGTCCCCAACTCATATAAAAGCCAACCTAAACCTATTTTGAGGGAGATGGAACATTTTTGAGAGGAACTCTTGACCTAGGGGAGAGCATAGAGCTGCCGTGGATGCCGGATTTCATATTTTTTTTCCATCAACCTAAATTTTTATGTTTCTTTGTATGATTTGTTGTTTGAGTGTCATGTTTATGTGGAGCTAAACTTCACATTCTAGGGTTGTGGTTCTTTCATGAGTATTGTTATTCGGATATTGATTTTGCTTTCTTGATTTATCATATTGATTTTGTTTATTCAATCTTGCGCTAAATTATTTAATTGTTTGATCATCAATTGAATACTATCTACGAATCTAGAGTTGAACTCGAAAGCGGGAACTCTAGATTGCATATAGGATTGAGTAGAGCATGTTCTTGAAGTTGGGCATCGAGGAATGGATTCGCGGTTAGGATTGACATATACCTAATTGTTTTGCTTGATTGATGTACAGGAAATATAAATGTGTTTTTGTTAATTCTAACTTCATAAACATATAGGCGTTAGGTTAGCTTGAATAGGCGAGTAAGAACTCGACAGATTCTTATGAGCAATATTAACCCTGTCAACTAATAAATCAGATAAATTAGTTATTCAATTCAATTGAAGAATACAATAGGAATGTTAGATAGCTCATGGTCCTAGATCGTTTTCATTACATTGATAACATAAAAATATGCTCTTCCTCTGTTCAAAGTTGATTATTTATATTTATTTATTTAATTAGTTTAGAATTAAATATTTCTAGGCTTAATTCTTGTTTCGATAATTAGGATAGTCTAATTTAGTTAATAGTTAATCACAAGTTCTCGTGGGTTCGACATCCGACTTTTAGTTACTTTATTAATTGACGACCGCATATACTTGAGTGTGCGTTTGGCCGTAACAAAAGGTTTCCACATATGCAGTAATTTTAGGAGGTTTATTCATGGTTTGTGCATTCTGAACCTGATTCTTTCACAGCGGAGCATAAATTTGTATAAATAAGCTAGCATTCTTAAAGTTGAATCCAAAAATATTAAATCTTGAATCCACATCTGTTAAATAATGACAAATTCACGAAAAACCAAAGAGAACTACAAGGAGCAAAAAGATAACCAGTGAAAAGCTCACAATTTAAACAAACAATGTAGGTTCTAATTAAACTAGGTAAATACAGAATACAAGAAAAGTTAATATACACTACTCCCTCCTATTCACAATAAGTGTTCAATTTGCTTTTAGCACGTCCATTAAAAAAAGAGTAAATCCTATACAAAAATACCTAGTATAACTAAACTACCCCTAATTAAACATTTAATGTGAGGAGTAAGAAAACGTTTTAGAAATATGTACATAGGGATTATTTTGTAAAAATAAATTAAATTTTTTCTTGATTACATAACTGCACACTTATTTTGAGCCAAAATGAAAAAACAAATTGGACACTTATTATGAACCGGAGGAAGTAATTTTCAATATTGCATCCATACAGTGATAAGTTGATGATTGGAGTAACAGCTTTCACGAATACCTGGGCGATGCTGCTTAAACAACGATGTAAATTTTGTATTGTAATTAAAGAATCCTATCTAACCTGTACAACCGTTGTGGAGCATTTTCATCGCTGCATGTATAATTTTCGAATTTCACTTCATGAACATAAGAGTGGGCGATTCATGAATTTGGGTAGGCTTGTCTAACGTCTTGTACTATTAACAATGTGTGGATTTTGTTGTGCTATAACTGCTTTTATATATTTTTGGTCATTTGACCCATTTATATTCCAAGATATCATCGTTAAAATGTTAAATACTTCTGAAGAACTTGCACTGCTACTCATTATTGATTCTGCACTTCAATAAGAATATAAAACATAAGTTAGTAAATAAATATAATAATAATCACTTTTCAATCTAAAATTTACCAAAAAGGACTTGTATGATTATTTTGAACTGACCAACACAAAATATAATGCTCCCCTTTCTGTTATCTAATTTGCTTGAGCACCTCTTATCACTAGTTAAGAATCTTAACTTAAGATTAAATAAAGAGAGATAGGACAATAATTTAACATTAATAGCATGTTTCAGATAGTACAAGTATTCCCTAAAACATGTTTTCTACACATAAATACCAAAAGATAATACACAGTTTTCAAAAGTGAACACATACAGTCAAACCGATATTTTTTTTATAACACAACATAAAAATTAGTTACCAAAAAAAAAATTTGGATTTTACAGTTAATGATTATTATATAAAAAAATCTGACTGCAGTACAGATATAAAAAAAAATCATTCAAACTAAATATGCAATAATTGATTTCTAGTATCTAGTATAGAAAAGGATCTAAGGGAGGCCTAAATCAGTGTTTCTAAGATACCAAAAGAGACTGAATTCAGAAATGGGATATGAAACACTGACCTTAGTGCAATGCTCTGCCGTGAAAATATAATGGTATGAAATCTGGAATAAAGGAGTATCTATAGGCGAGAGAAAAGCTAGGGTTAGGGTTTGTATGAGGGGGAATATGACATTTCAAGAGCTGGAAATAGCCCCTTTCTGATCGAGAATCATATCTGTTGGGAATAAACCCCTTACCAAAATAATATTCACGGTAATAAAGCGGAATAATAATGTAGCACCGAGATACGGTAATTAACAAGAATAAAAGAGTAACAATGACACCAAGATTTTTACGTGGAAAACCCTTCTGAATAAGGGAAAAAAAACCACGACCCCGAGAGGAGCAACTGATATCACTATAGTAAGGAATTTTACACTTTGTAGGTCGGAGGTAAATACTCCAAAGACCACTACAACACTCAAAAGAAATAACCCTCTTTTGATATTCCCACCTCACTACAATATCGCTCACTCTCTATTTTCCTCACAGACTATTTTCTTATACCTTGTCTGTGAAACCTCACTCTTTCTTTCTCTCTTTGTTGGTGTGAAGAAATGAGAGTTGAAGCTCTCCTTTTATAGCCAAAGCTTCACCCTCTAAAGCCTACAATATTTGACAATTTACACACATTTTTCACAATTCAACAAAGTTGGCTACCAGACCAAAGAAATTCAATAAGGTTGGCTACCAACCAAACCAAGTCAACAAGGTTGGCTACCAAACCAAAGAAAACTCTTATTAGGCACATGCCTAATACTTCTTCAATGAGATGGACATCATCAATCATATCTCAATCAAAATGCCGATTTTGTAGGTACATAAAAATCTGATTTTGAGAGAAAAGTTTTTATATATCATCTCGTGAACGAATATTCTGAGCAGTAGTAATGGGAGACGAGACAGAGCTTCACAAAAATGGAGGGATAAAATCTGTTGTGAAAAGGGAAAGTTAATGAAATTTCACGAAGGGGGAGTCAATCCATTATTGTGTCTCGTACACCCCTCCACCTCCATTATTGATGGTAAGGCTGCAAAAATTTTGGCGTGACGAAGGAGAAAAAGCAGAGACAGAGGCATAGCTTTCACGTCTGAGCTGCGTCTGCAGTTTGTTTATGAGAAAATTAAACGAGAGGGTGTTTTAGTCTTTTTTGGCTGGTTGTTGGGGTTTTTGCAACAGGAGAGTAAGTAAAAATAGCACGGTATAGTCAGTTTTCGAATCGGTCATTCAAAAATAGCCGGCATTTACCAAATCAATAAAAAATAGTCACTCTTTTGCGAGACCAGTCCAGTATAATATACTGGCGTATTTTTCGGGTTTTGAACAGTATTTTCGATCAAATTTATCTTTTAAATGTTGAATGTTCAGCTCCTGCTGGAACCAAATGGAATCAATATTGAATGTTCTGCTGCCAATATATTTGTTCTATAAATTTGTTTATCTAGCATTTTCAAGAAAGAGAGGAGATCAAATTTCATGTAATTTGATGATCTTAAATGACTATGGTTTCTTTGAGCCTCTGTATTATAGAAAGGTGGTTCATGTGCACAGAGATCTATTTACATTGTCCATTTGGACAAGTTTTTAATGTCAAAAATATTTGCTAGTCACCATCACTGGCATTCTTCTACCATTGAGCTTGCATTTTCAAGTTCCACATTTATTCGGTGTCATACTGCCATCCGCTTGATTGCACAATTTTATTTTTATTTTTTTATCAGTGAGGTAATTACACATTTTTAAGCAGATACAATTCTAACAGAAAAAAATTGTAGGCTAGAAGCCATAATATTAAACCGAAACCATACCGAAACCGTACCGAACCAAAATAATAAATACCAAAATATTTTGGTACGATATTTGGTATACACAATTGATAAATCGAATACCAAAATATCAAAACGAAATTCTTAAATACCGAACCGAAATACCGAACGCCCACCCCTGCTTTTGCCACTCTCCAAAAGTCATTTACATCAATTTTGCGAGCCTCTTTTCTTATTCATTGTCCTTTAAGAGGTGATGTGGCAGATAAACAAATTTGGACAAAATACAAACTTGCCGGTCGGTCAAAACTATTGTATTCGCTAGTCAAAAATATATAAATTATGTATAAATTTGTATATATATATATATATATATATTGTCGACTATTATTTTCAGGATCTGGCTATTTCTCAACAAATTTTACCTTCATAAACACATGAGAAGTAAAAAGAAGTATTTACAATAGTTATCAAACAGAAGTAAACAAAGTAAAAGTTCAAGAAGATCACAATAGCATCTCTCTTTGATTTTTAAAAAACACAAACATGTCATCACGATTAGGGAGATTCTCTTTAATGACTGTTTCTTCTTTGAAATTCTGAACCCAATTGAGCAAACGAGGAAATGAGTGAGGTTTCAGCAATTTCACACCAACAATATCTTCAATTACTTCAAGCCAATGAGGAATTATACCAAAAGCCAAGTCCACAATTCCAATTTTGTCACCACCAAAGAATTTATTTTCTTCTCCAATAGCTTGTTCCTCTATAATTGTAAGCATTTCTATTGTTTCTTTGATGGCCTTTTCTTGCTTTTCTCCAATTGTGTAGTATATTGTCCCAATACAATGTCCCTATGTGAAAATGTCGTTATGTCAAATCCAATTGGAAAGACCGATTTAGAATTTCTAGAATATGGGTGCATCATTAAAGAAATGAGAATATATATATATTAAGTGAGAATTGATTCATGTTCCTTTGGTTAAATAACTCAATATTCAATCAGGTACACCATGCAGCCTTTTTGTAGCAGGGTGGCAAACATATAATATCAATTCTAAAAAAATACATACATAAGATACTCAAAGAATGTTTATACTTTGAAAAAAGATTCATACTAAATCTTGGTGAATTAATTTGTTTGACTAAATTTCATAATTGCTATAGTTAAAAAAAAAAGAAGAAGAAGATTACCTTATCTCCAGCAAATTTAACCCAAAATCTTGACATGGCTCTATCAATGGGATCAATGGGAAGAAGTGGATTTTGAGGCCAAGTATCTTCAATATATTCA